GGAGTGGACAAGGGCAAGAGGAGGAGCAGATGAGGCGAGGACGGTAAGGCAGGAGGAGGGGGTCGTGCACAGCCCTGGAGGCCGCTGCAAGAACTCTGGCCTTTATGTTGAGTGAGAGAAGGAGCCACGTGAGAGTTCTGAATGGCATCATCTGCCTCATGCTTTAATTGGATCATTTCTGTGGAAAATGCATTGTGGAGGGACAGGGGTAGAAGCCAGGAGACTAGTTAGGAGGTTGCTAGGATGATCCAGGTGAGGGATAATGATGGCCTAGAGCAGGCCATAGTGTGGGAGGTGCTAGCTTGGTTCAGACATGGGTCAAGCTCTGAATACATTTTTACTTGATTTTCTCATATATGCTGATCGAAAGAACAGACATTAAGTGACAGTCATAATATCTACATATATATTAAAATTATCTTAATGAATTGTTATAAGTTTTGATATTTCGTAAAATGTTTCTTAAAAATAATAATTGTTAGAGAAACGTGCAGTTTATGAACAGAAAGAATGGGCATACCTGCTACAGTAGAGGCCTGGTGTGCCATCTAATTATAAGACTCACCTAAAAACAGGTGAGGGTTCATTGCCATCTTAAGAGTGTGAGGAAAATATTGAAGGTCTGTATAACTGACAGCTTGAAGCCCAGTCGAAAGGGACTGCTAGCATTTGAAAGATTTCGTCCATCCAGAAATCACAGTTTATAGATGGTTGTATTCTCAGACTCATTAGAAAGGCCGATTAAATGTGACTCAAGAACCAAGAGATGAAAGTGCCAGGGACAAGTCCTTTGTCTAGGTCAGACTGGGAAATATTCCGAAAGAAGTAACCCTAGCTTCATGCGACTCACGCCTTAAAAATTCTCAAAGCTGGAAGAACCGGCATGTACTGAGAACGCATGAGGGCCAGGTACCGTGTTAGAGAATTTTGTGTGCTCATGTCATCCTCACAATAACTCCACCAAGTATTTTTAATCTCACTTCATGGGGGTGGAAACTTGGGCTTCTTGAGGTAAAATGACTTACTCGGAGTCAGGCAGTTAGTGAGTGATGGAGGCAGGGTTTAAATTAGTTTGCATTCGTGCAAGTCTGTGACCTTTTTGCTATATCTTACAACGGAAATATCAGGACTCCATGGCCCCAAGGCATGCTGAAGTTCAATGCTGGGAGACAGAGCGTGGAGGGACTCTGGCCATTTCCATGGCAACACGAGGATGGGGCTCTCAGAGGAGATGAGAGCTACTGTGGTTTCCACACCTGGCCACGGATTATAATCACCAGGAATTTCAGGGATATAATTTTTTTTTATTTTGAAAAGATTTCTGGGTGACTTCTATGTAGACAGCTTATCGCTGCCGTATCATTCCATACATGACGGGGAGCAACTCAGAATTAGGTGTAGGGACAAAAACTAATAACCTATGACATAGCTTCCATAGGTAGCAACCTGAGACTTATCGGCCAGAAGAGTCTACAGAAATCTGGGTTTGTGATTTGTTTCAAATACGGACAATTTTTCTTAGATTTTGTTTCTAAACAAATAATCTTTTTTGTGGCACAAAGGCATCATTTTCGGCATTGCAAGGGTCTCATGGAATCAAAGAATACTAGAGGTGGAATGAACCTCAGAGATCGATCCCCTTACTGTGGAGCTGAGGACACCGAGACTCAGCAGTAAAGTGACTTGTCAAAGGTCACAAGAATCCAGACCTGGTGCCCTTTCCACCAAGCAATTCTGCCTCTCTCGAGACCTTTCTCAATGTTGTCAGTCATCCTGCTGATAAAAGTTGGTACATTCCCTGGGTTTAATTCAAAAGTTCAATTTTGCCTACCTGCAGCTGTCCCCAGTATTGAAAAAGCTATTCCCTGTCCACCGAGTTTTAATGATTCAGATTTCTTCAGCAAGAGTAAGACCCTAGGTTGGTTTCAAATGTCAGGACTTTTCTGTATTTCATTTTCATTTTGAAAGGTTAATCTAATACGAATGGGGAGGGGGAAGCAGAACACCCAGCTTCTCCCTGGCACTCATGTCGTTTCTTTAATGCCCCAACCCCTCCTTGCGATCTCTTCACTTGCCTCTCAGTCCTGTATTCAATTTAACAAACCACATTTTCTCACTTATCTCCCGAATTACTTTTATACCAACACACTTTGGAAAGAAAAATGAAGGAAACGTTTGCTCCACCTACACCACTCTCAGTCCACTCTTCTGCTATGAACAGACACTTCTCTAGGAGGAATGTGCTTTGTCCCTGCCAGAAAGAACCCCTGGTTTAATTTAAAGAGAAGCTGGTCATTGGCCACTTGTGGGGAAGGAGGAGAAATCAGATGAGTGCTTGTCCTTATCCTGGACCAGCTGCCACTCATCTTTTCCCTTCTCTCTTCCTTTCTTTCCCCATATTTTGGGCCAAAGAATTAGGCCATCTGTTTCCCAGTGCATCTTTGGCTGTATAGAGAGATGAGTAACATGATTTTTGCCTTTTTTTTGAGGGTGGTCATTTTTATAAGGCAAAAATTGTTACACCTTTAATATCTTTTTTCCTTTTTAAAATAGTGTCTCTTTCCTTCAAAGCATCAAGGAATTGTAGAAGAAAAAAAGGAACACATGTTGGAAGATTTGGGTTCTCATTAGACTAGACGGTGTTGTAACTCTGAATGGGCCACTGCTCTTTGGTAAGCAGGAGTCTCTGAAATCAACTAAGGTTGTTGAGGTTCTTCACATGCCAGGCCTCATGTGTCATGGAATCCTTTACTTGAAATGATACTGGAGAACCATAAGGAGGAAAACTCATGGAAGTCCAAATAAATACAAAACTGGAAAAAAAATTTAAGTCTCTGGGAAGTAGGCTCTGCTTAAAGCTTATCATCTGAAGGAGGAAGAAATTTACTTACAATGTCTGGTTTACTAAGACAGCATGACTCCTGTGTAGATTAGGACTATTTCCTTGGACTCATTTAATCCTAATAGCCCAATGACGTTGCTGTGATCCCCACTTCATCTGGTAGCTGAGATGCAAAGAAATTACGTCATTTTCCCAAAGTCACAGCACATGCTAGGACTCTGCCTAAGCCCAGGTTTGTCTGATTCCCAATCCCTTCTCTCCGACTTGCTGCCTGCTGCCCCTGCCTATGTCCCAGCCCCCTCCTTCTTCTCTCCCGTCATCTATTCCTCCTTCCTCTGAGTCGGGCATGTGCAGGCGGGTGAGTCCCGAGGCAGAGGAAAAGAAGGGCCCTGTGTGGCCATGAAAGATGGGTGGAGGGGAGGATATTGAGTCCACTGAGATGAGGGCATCCAGGGATACAATGCTTGGGATAGACTGGTGCTCTCAGTGGGGAAAGCAGGCAGGCCAGGGAAGGAAGCACTGGCTGGGAATACTGTAGGCAAAAGCCAAGGTGGGGTGAGCTTGGGCAGCAGCAGCTGCTGCTTTGAAACTGCTGCCTCTTCTCTAAAAAGGTTCAGACACCCAGAGCAACAAGGAAAATGAGTTATCTTTAACATTATCCTAACGCCTTGTATTTGAAATCTTTATAACACCTGGAACACTGACAGTTTAAGGCATTATGTCATGTGACAACATAGCAACTTTGTGGAATTGTTTACTTTGCTGATACTCTGTCTCTTATAATGATGTTTAATGATGTTTACCTTTTCACTTCTACTTCTAGGAAGCTCAGAGTCCAATGGGTAGCCTATTTTTTGCAAATGAGTAGAACTTTGTGGCATCATAGCCATAATAATTTCCTTTACTTTCTCTACGATCATTTTATTTCAAATATTTTATCTTACATTGTATACATCTTTGTGAATCTCAAAAATTTTTTTAAAATTCCCAGAATATTTCTATCTCTATCTATAGCTTCCCCTACACATTCATCTATAATTTCTTCTCTACTTCTATATATATTTCATTTCTACTGCCATTTATCCCTCATCTATACCTTTATCCACATGGATAACTATAAGGGAGACAGGGACAGTCCAACTCTGTAGTTTTCTAGTTGTGTGTTTTTAACCCAAATTTGAATATGAAAGCATAATTATAAAGCTTTTGACATAAAGATGGTTCACATCTGGTCTTGGAAACCTCCACGGTGTTTCCATGAGAAAGCCATTCACTGACAGACATACTAATGGGCCTGTGATATAGAACCCAAAACTTAAAAAAGTTCCAACCCATCAAGAAATCCCATTCATCATTTCATTTTTTGGAAAGGATATGAAAAATGAAATGTCAGAGCTATAATGTCAGGACCGTTTAAAATGTCAAGTGCTTGTTGTTGCATAGCCTGCCTGTCTGCTGTTCTGATCAAACCTCCAACTGGCATAATAATTACAGATGATACATTGCATTTTCATGCACAACTGGATACAGATTTATAACAAATCAGATGAAAACATTCTCACTGCCCAGTCTGAAGTTTTCTCCTTTTACTACCTAGCTTAAGACTTTTCCTTTACAGCAGAAGAGTATCATTAGTTCAAGACAGCATTCAAGGTAAGAAATGAGAAATAAGGGCAGAAAACAAGTTTCTCAAATAAACCAGAACTCAGTCATTTATAATATACAGATGCAACAAGAGCTAAGAGTCAGCAAACACATTTGCCAAATGCACGTTTAATCTAAGAATGCTAAACTGTGGAGACATTTTCCAGATAATGCAGTTATATTTCAAGATGCAGATTAAATATGCAAGAAAACAGACCTGCGAGCTTTATTTTGAACTGATAGGTGTGGAGACAATCCTTCAGTTTAATCATCCTGTTTTAATCTGCAGAGAGAGAACTCATGGACAAACAGAAAAGCAACAATGCATCTGTTTAGGATCTTTATGGAAGTCTCTATTGAATTAAAATAAATGCTTGTATTCATAAACCTATGATAGTTATAGTAAAGATCTGACATCGACAGCATGTACATGAGGAAGATTGTATTTCTTCTCCACTGAAATTTTGTGCTCACTGAAAGCATTCGGTGAGAATGCAGCAGCCTGTCCTCTCTCTCACTGGGAGAGGGGCCCCCACAGCTGCTTCATTTTCACCTTCCCTAGACCGGCCTTCTCAGGTGGTTTGGAGAAGTCCTCTTTGGTGTCTGGCTGCTTCCCATTACAGATTGCTTTCAGCACGTTGGAAAGGTCGAAGCTCTTGTAAACAATCTCTAGGAGATCCTGATCTTTTTCCAGGCCATTGATAAATTCTTCTAAAGTCAGTTCTCCTGGAAAATAATAAACGAGCAATTAACAAGAGGCTTCATAAGTACCACTCAGAGCACATGCAATATATTTACTGGTATTTTTGTTGATATTCTTCTGATATCCTTTCTCTTCAATTAGTCTTTAAGATCTTTGAAGATCTTCATATAAAAGAGCATTCAATGGTGCGGATGCCAATGAAAATAAAAGTAATATAATAAATATGATCTACTTTTATTATTGGTTGAGAACATCAGGTAACGCACCTGATGAAATAAGAGCACAAATACATTTACATCTCGACACATTATTGGTTTTTGGACCTTAAATCTTGAAGGTATGACCAGATCATAGGAGCAAGACAGATTATAGATAAAAAGATCCAGAGGAAAGGACTGTTCACAAGGCTGTTTTCAATATTCTTCTCTCTGAGGAAATAATTCCAGAGACTGTCCAAAGCTGCGAGGAAGCTTAAACAATTATTCATTCCACATATTATTATTGGTCACCAGTTCTCCTCTCTCTGACTTTTGATTCCTAATTTTATCACCTTGACTTAAACCTTAGGCCTGTGCTGGCCAGCCCAGTGCTATAGGTCTATAGCCTTATACCCAGGTGTACTGGCTGGCATGTTTTTTCACTATCTCCATCCCACAAGACAACTTTTCAACATTTTGAGAGGCTGGAATTCTCTGTTGACATAAATCATTCGTATTGGGATTATGGGTGTGTTTAGGTTGAAAGAGATTGTGCCCAACAGGATTTGTAGCCCGGTGGAAGATCAGCCACGGGGGGTCAAGTACAGCTGGTAACCAGAGAAAGTGCCCCGAGGCGGAAAGTCAGCAGGCACTGAATCAGGCGCTACACTGTACCCATACCTTTCTGTGGATAAAAATAAGTATCTAAAACACCGCAATAGTGATTCAAATGTAAATAAGTATGAATCATCACATTTTCATATACCTCCTTTTGATTTCATTGTAAAATACTAAAAATACATTTTTCTTTTGGAGGGAAATCTAATCTTTGTTTCTTATGTTCTATTTATGCCAAAGAAAGGACTGAGCAAAACCCCAGCTAACAGCGGTTAGGAACAGAATCCCCCGCGTGTCGCAGGGAAAGCTCAACCCTGGAACAAACCGACGGAAGCAGAGAGGACTGCACAGTAAGAGGAGTGGTGAGAGGGCGGTGGGGGTCGCGTGGACGCAGCGGTGACGGGCAGGAGGACATGAAATACTCCAACAACAACGCCCTTTGCAAAGGGAAATCGCAGCTGGCAAATTCCCAGCCCGGAAGACTTTTCAAATTTCTAGGGCTCAGCATGACCCAAAGCAAAGTGGGAATGGAGCTGGGGAAACTGGGGTCATTTTAACTCCTCAGGCGTAAAATCTCTCCGCTGTCACCGCTGGCGATGGAAGAAGTCGTATCGAAAGGGACCGGGACATAGTCTCAGCTGAAACGCAGCACAGGTTACCGATATGGAAAAGAGAAAAAGAAGGACGTCTTTGCTGCTGTTTTTTCACTTCTTCAAAACACCTGTGAACTCTGCATACTAACTTTTTTCCTGTTAGCTAACCACTTATCATTAAAAAAAAACCAAAACTGTTCCAAATGGTCAGCCTCTATCTAAGGTAACTTACAATGTTTACTATATCCAAACTACTTCTTTTGAAATTTTCCTCACTCTTTTTCCCTCTAGCACTCAACATTTGTTCATTTATTCATCAAACTATTGAGCCCTAACTACAATTACCACTGCCACGGCCGCACGGCTGCCACTGCTGCAGCTGTTAAGGCGGGAGCTCGGAAAGCACGCGGACAGACCGCCTTCCGCTGTCTGATGTTCTTTAACTTTGCTCCCTACTCCTCTTTACTTCGACTGTGAATTTATGCCCAAACAAATTAAAAGGTTGTTTGCTGGGTTTTTCTAGAAAGGATTGTCTGTAGGGTCTAGAAGCTTCCTACCAAAGAATCCACCAGCAAAGAGCCAAAGCCTGTAGGCCACGATTGACCCGGAGATCACAGGACTCAGAATGACATAAAGTGATGCGTTTCATTGGTAATAGAAGAGCTACCCCTGAATATTTTCTTTGCAGTCTGGTTATTCTGTTGATATTCCTGGATCATGCATTTCGTCCTATTAACATCTTAAATAATCTTTTATAATAAAACAAAATATCTGCCCCCTCGCTAAAAAAGGCCAGAATTCACTGTGCATGCCCACATTAGCATTTTTGCTCTAAAGAAGTCAGCCTGGTTTTAAAAGAAAACAGTCTGTGTAAAGGAATTTTTTTCAATTCCAATTCTTTTAAACTATAGTTTCATGAAAAATTATGCTGAGACTGGGAAATTAGCAAAGATGGGGTGGGGAGGATTCAGGAAATGAGAATGATCGGGTTTTCAAGGGAGGATGCTGGTGAAGATTTTAAACGATACTTACAAACAAGTATTGTGTTCATTAGCAAGGTGGCACTAGAGGCATTTAGCAGCATTTTACAGCAGAGTTTTAGCGTGCAGCCGTTTCTTCTCTATGAGGAAACTCAATTCCCTCTCATTTCCTGGTAGTTCTCAGTTTCCCAATTTAATTCAGTATGATTCTCGTGGCTTTCCACAATGTTCCAGTCTAAAGCACTGATCTTTCTTCTTAGTCCCTCAGTAAAATGTCTTCCTCTATTTCCGTTCCTGTTTTCTTTTACCTAAAATATCTGCTCAATAATCACCCTCTTTCATGTCCTCTTTGGCCTCTTTTCACTTTCACAGTTTATTGTTATGAGCCACTTAAGTCAGCCTTATCCCCGTGCTATTTGGCTGTGTGTCAAACCTGCCCTGGCACTTTCTGCGCTTGGTGTTGTGAACAACATCTATAAGTCTTCCTAAGTCGCGACTCCTGCTGGAACCTGGTAGGATGTGGATTGCTGTTCTTCTGCTAGCAAAGCCTGTACAAGTCCATGCTTAATCATTTATCCTGACTTGTACTGTTTTCATTCTTCAATAATATTGAATGTTTAGCTTCAATTTTCTGCCTTTGTGATTCTCTTGAAGCTCTCCTTCCTGATGCTCATCTTCATAACATAAAAATAAAACTAACTTGTTAAATTATAACAATAGAGGCTCATAGTAAAAAAAATTCAGACAATACATAAAAATGTAATGTAAAGAAAGCACTCCCCTTTAGCCTTTCTCTGGCCTCCAGTCACACTTTTCACAGGTAATTAACTCCTGCTAACCAATCCAGGTTTACATTTTGTGAAGTCTGCAATGCATATGCATACATAGTTTAACTTCCAAAATATTCTAGACATCTTTCTTCCTCAGATTGAATTGCACGTTGTGCTTATTTCTTCATTATTCTTTATTTTTTATGACATCTTCTTATTACGTGCTTACTCATTTCATAGTTATTTATACAGCACAGAGAATTTCAAAGTACATAAAACAGAAATAGTTCTTGCTTTCACGGAGCTTATAGCTCTTCATCTCTTTATAATTCTGTCATTACTCCCATACCTCTCTTTTGCTTAACCTTCTAACTTTGACTTGCTAACTATCATGAGGATTATGTATAGAATACTTTGTTGTGTATTTTTCTGTCACAACAGATGTGATGCTGTTTGTTTATTTTGCAAGCAATTTACAATCAAATTGGGATTTTCATATATGTTCCTAAAGATATTTTAGCTGTATTTTTGTGCTGTGATCAGCTTTATCTTTGGTTTCAATATTCATTAGATTATTAGATACCAATAATGTGCTTGCTTTTTATTTTGAGAGATCAAAAATATATATGCTGGCACATAGTCAATAGAATTCTAGTATACTTAATTGAACATCTCTATGTCTACCAACACTGATGTTTTGATAACAATGATAATAATTAAAAAATCATATTTGAGGTATACATATTTAGGCTTGTACAAATGTGAATGGATATTTTCCTATGTGGTGCCAACTCCCCCCTTATGAATGAAGCACTTTACATTATTATCCTCTGTCAAGCACTTGCCAAATCCTTTTGCACTTCTGCAAATATCAACCCATTATGTCTTCATTACTTTCTCTTCCTTGTCTTCTGTTGCACTGGGCTTTCTCTGTCCAACGATACATAATTTTAGCATATTTTTCTCAACACATGAGTGACCCAGCGGCCTCTTGATGAGATGATGTAACAGCCTTCAATAATTTCCATATAAAAACAAATCCTATCAGTTTTAGCTCTGTAAATGCATTTGCTAAGAAACAGTGGTTCAGTCTACAGCCATATCCCCCTGAACATGCTTAATCTCATCTGATCTCAGAAGCTAAGCAGGGTCAGGCCTGGTTAGTACATGGATGGGAGAAATAATGGTTCATTGTTATTCCAAAATGTGTGTGTGTGTTTATTTTTCCTACTTAAAATACAAGTTTTTATCAGAGTAAACGATTAGTGTATTTAGTTCTAAAAACTATTCCAGAAGCCATAATGGACCCCCTCTTTTCTGTTGTTGACACATTCTTCCAGGTCAAAGAGCCCATTTCTCTAACTTCAGGTAACCTCAGCTATTGCCTGAGCACAACTCCTCTCCTCTGAATTCATATCTTTTTATCAACCCAGTCCTTTCCCTTTCAAGGCCCCTTCAAATCTCTTTCCCCACTTTATTGATTCCTTATACTTTTTCCTTGTGGTATCTCCTTAAATAGTAAACAAAAAGTCCTGCATCATTTTTGTGCTTTCTGGAACACATTATCTGTATCCTCAAATTGACAGAAACGTCGTTGTTTCCTAAAGATGCCCAAATCCTCATACCTCTCCAAGGGAAGTCACTTTCCTATTCCCCCACACTTAGCACTAGAAGCATTGTCCATCGATATTATCAAATATTCTTGACCTGCCCTTCTGAAATTCACTGTATAGACTAAGTCTTAAACCTTCCTGATATTCCATCTACTTCCAAAATATTGTTCTTTTACGTCAACGTTTTTCAGCCCTGGGATGAAACAGTTTATCCTCTCTACTCCAATCCCTGCCATCCTGCAGTACCTCTGAGATTAAAAATAAAAATGAAACCGAACAAAACCTATAGCAGTCTCCTGTTTGATGACCACTGTTTTCAGTTGCATATTCCAAATGAGATCTTCACTGGCCTTATCAAACCCTCTGCTCTCCATTTCTCTGGTCCTTTTCTAGTTTCGCTTAGCCTCCTTATCTACTCTGGGTGGTCTGACTCTGTTTCTTGCAAACTTTCACAGGAACTGGCTTATTTTATTCTACTCTTTGATCTCTGTATGCTAGTAAGCGAGCGCACTGACTTGAGATTCAGATCTAGGCCTAGTCCTTAAGTAAAGACGAAGATTGATGCTGTTGCTGTATCTCCAAGCTGTTTTCCTGAGAAGTATACTCTTGCCCAGTTGTTTGGCTCTCTCACAAGGGTGGCTGCATTTGAACTTCCTCTCAGCCTCCTCGCCACCCCTCCCTTCCGCGCTGAGCTGCCACATTTGACCAGTACAAAGTGCCACACTCAGCGTGGGAACATGGGTCTCTACTGCCCTCTCGTGTCCACTGAAAGAAGCGACGCGTGGTGGGCGGGTTGAGTAAGTAGGAGTTACTTGTGGATTGAATTCAACCATGACTGGAATCCCAATGCCTTTTATCCATTCTTTTTTAACCTCTTACTGATATCTTATATTTTTCATAATGCCAAATTTCCTGTTTTTGAAGGACCATTGCTAGATATTCTGCATCAATTTCAAGTCAATATGCTCACCTACCATTTTGCTGAGATCAAAGCCATTTGGTATAAGCACTCACTTCTCTTGGAATGTCTGTGTCTTCTCTCCTGCCTCTGAAAAAGAAATGCACCTCCTCTGGGCTAAAGAGAACCCAGATTTCAAGGTAGAAGGAGCAGAAATGAGAGAAAGGGTAAAAATGTAGAAAAGATAGAAAAAGCAGAAATGGAGACAAGTATGGACGATTCTCCAGAAATGTGTAGTCAGGGGGAAGGAAAAAGTCCGACAGTAGGAGAAAACAGCATAATTGAAGGAAGATTTTCTACAGCAGGGAAAACTTCACTTTATTATAAGTTGATGGAAAAACTCCGGTTGAGAGGAAATGATTAATAGAGCATGGCCCAGAGCAAACAGCAGAAGGTTCCGCATCCCATATTCTCGCAATTTCTCTCGTTGTCTCTCCCTTTACTCTTTACATATTCTGATGTGTCATGCCCCACACAGTGGATACAAATACAGTCAATAAACATTTACTCAATTGAACTTACCAACTACAGAACATTGGATTGTCAAATTATGAAGCCCAAGTCACAAGAATGATTCTCTTGATAGGTTTCTGCTTTTGTCTAAATGACATCCCCCACCCCCCACCGTCTCCCGATTGTAAGAAAGTGAGCCAGAGGGGAGTAGCTCCCTTACCATCATTGTTTATGTCAATCTTACGGAACACCAAGTTGGTGAATTCCTCAGGACTCAGAGTTTGCTGGCCACCGAGGGCTTGTACACCCTGCAAAGAGACGTTACATGAGAGAGTTCAACTTTGCTGGAAGCAAATACATTTTGTAGTATTTTTACTCCAATGTGGCAGAATTCGGGGATGTGTTAATGTCAGTTTTTGCTCTCCAACCTGTTCTAGTTGTTAAAAATAAATAAAGAGAAAAGATTTTATGTCAGTTCTAGGTAATGAGGCTTGGAAACTAAATTAACTGAATAAAGTCTGAAGTTTGATTTTATACAGCATAGAGGGTCCAATTCAATACATTAGGTAACAAAAGATGCAAAGAGCCAGTTGGAGAACATATTGTAGTGGTCGTGGTCATAAGAGTTTTGGACCCAGAAAACAGACATTGTTCTTGGTTTCAGACTGATTCGTTTGGTCCATATGGATGAACGGAGAAGGATGACTCGGTAAGAAGCTAAGTCTTCCTCTCTGGCTGCTGCCACAGCCACCTCTGGTTCCTTGTGCCCTTTGGTACAATGAACAGCTGGGAAGACAGATATATACGCCTTAGAAGGAGGCAGAATTTCTCTCATATTCTACCAGCACCTTTTCATCATAAAAGTTGTCAGAAGACCTGGGGCAAGTGACATTTCCAGGTTTCCTAGAGGGAAGATTTAGCCAAACCACTCCCTGCAAAGGTGATTAAATGACCCAGATCTGAGACAGAAATTCATAATAAAATGAAAGAGGATTAGTCATCTGGGAATTTGAACATAACCATCTTTACTGAACATGAAGGGATCTTTAGAAAAATTGCTGGCTACGTATTTCAATTAGAGGGCACACACCTTCAATGTGACTCTCTTGCTTGCTGTTTCACAAGCAAGACTAACCTTGAATCCAGGATTAATCATAATAAACGGAGGTAAAGCCTTTGCTTTAGCAAGCCCAGGTCTCGCAGATCTCACAGTGAAATATAAGACAATGCTTGGAGTTACCGTTACATACACGCAACGTCACATTAGAGGAAAATTTTCAGGGTTTCTCAGTGTTTGGGCAGAGGCTCCAAAAACCTAGACAATTGGCCAGGTAAGTATCCCCACATTCTGAAGTGACACAAGACCACATATACAAATCACAGTAAAAACTTGTGAAATCTTGATTTGTTCATCACCCATCTTCCGGCAATCTAAGAGTGAAATACTGATTGGAAGGTGGGTGAGGCCTGAGGAGAGAATCATCAGCTTGCTCTGTTTTCCTTCTTTTTCCTGTAGGACAAGTAGGGTGGGGGATGGGCAAGAAGGCATGTTTAGGGTTTTTTTTCCCCCCTTCTTTTTTTCCTCATTTAGCATATCTACTCCTTCTCCCCCATTTTGCTCATCACAGTGTCTGAGCACTGCCTGCGTGGGAGCAGGAGCAGGTGGAGAGAGAGGGGGGCAGAGAGTTCTTGGTTGCCAGGTACTGCCATGTTGGCCAGTCGCAGGGCTCTCTGGACTGGCAGGTGTTTACAGTCTGCTCTTGCTCTGAAATCCCCTCCTCTCCATCACTGAGACTTTCTCTCTCCTGCAATTCCCTAGACATGAATCATGCATCTCGATTCCAGCTGGTCCCTATCTAGGTCAGAGTTTCTCAAAATCTACACACTAGACATTTTTGGACTAGACAATTCTTTCTTGTTCAGGGATGTTCTGTGCATTGCTGAATTTTCAGCAGCATCCCTACTCTCTCACTAACAGATGGCAATAGCAACCCCCCACCCCCATCCTCCACTCCCCAATTAACCAAAGTGTCTCCAGACATTGCTAAATGTCCCCTGAATAGGGATTCTCCTGGTCGAGAACCACGGCTCTGTCTGCCTCCAGCTTTCTTCTCCTGAGTTTCCCTCACCCCCCAGACCTTGCTGGACAAGATCTAAGACAACTCCATGCCAGCTTTCTTTCACAGTGGTCCACACAAGATTCACAGAAAACACCCCGGCATCCTTTGTCCCAGCAAATTCTAGGACTGCAGGTACTTCATCAACTGCACCTTTGCGGCCGTGTCTGCTGCTTTAGACTTCTCACCGTGACTCAAACACCCAAACAGTGTGTTCCCCAAACTGCAGTGTGCCTCTACTCTCAATGGTTTCCTTAAATCTCCATGTTACTGACTTCAGGGATCCTACCCAAGAAATTCTCCTTAAAATCCTTCTCGAAAATCCTTCTCATGATTATTTTATATCCTCGAAGTGAGATTAAGATGTAACTATCTCCTTTGTAAATTCTCCCTGTACTCTAGTATCTTCTTCCAATCTCTTAATGCCTGGGCTGAATTCCATTTTAACATTCTCACTGCATGCAGAGAGGGCTTAGATTATATATATATATTATTCTTTAACTTGATGCCTTTTTTTTACTTGCCATTGTATAGAAAGTATGTTCATAGGCCACTAACTTTTTAATAAGTACATATTCCGCTGGCTTAACTTTTAGTTTTTTTATTTTTACTATCTTAAGAGCTTTTGTGATATAAACCCTAGAACTTTTACCCTTAATGATTGTTTTTTCTGACCCAAAATAAGTAATGCTGACTTTAAAGTGAAGATCAACTTTTAGCCTCTTGATGCAGATTATCACATTTCCAGGAATGTTATATCCACTTACGTTCTCTCCACAGTACGTAAGGGTACCCTTCTTATCATGCTCTTGCCAGAATTAGCTATTACTGTTTTTAGAACTTATTAATTTAAAGTCAAATTATATCCAATTATTAAATTAATTTATTAAATTAATTTCTGCTCTTTGCTTTTATTATTTCAGTTTCCCTGTGTTATTTTTGTTCCCTTTCAAAACACATTGAGGACAAGCTCCATTTACTATTTAATATTTCTCTTTCCTTGACTCACTAAGTTGTACTTTTTTTTTGAGGCACAGTCTTGCTCTATCGGCCGGGCTAGAGTGTAGTGGCGTCATCATAGCTCACTGCAACCTCAAACTCCTGGGCTCAAGTGATCCTCCTGCCTCAGCCTCCTGAGTAGCTGGGACTACTGGAATGTGCCACCATGCCTGGCTTATTTTTCTATTTTTTGTAGAAATTGGGTCTTGCTCTTGCTCAGGGTGGTCTTAAACTCCTGACTTCAAGCTATTCCCCTGCTTCAGCCTCCTAAAGTGCTAGGATTACAGGCGTGAGCCGCAGCACAAAGCCTAAGTTGTACATTGTAACTAATGAAAATCTATTCACATTTTCCCATAATATTTAAATAAAATCACTTTTATCCTTTTGTTATTCCTAACTCCCTTGAGAATCTGATGACTCTCCCCTTCACCCAGAAAAAATGCATAACATACAGACAAAATTTTGCCATCAGTTTCAAGGGCTCCAAGGATTCCTGAAGGCCATACATCCACAGATCCACAGATAGGCATCCCTGCTCTGAGCAATGCTTTGGTGGCATCCCCCAAGATTTGTATATCATATTTACATTTTAATCATTTTAGAATAAGCTAGGGTATATTTATTTATGAGGATATTTTAAAATTTACATGGAGTTGTCCACTCTCTATAGAATACTTTAGATTCCAAATTTTGTGTTGCAATATGTAATATATTTACAGAATTTTTAAGTTTTAATGCTTACAAAGTTCGATTGCAAAGCGCATCTTAGTACATTTTTTTGGTGAATGATCTATGTGAGATTAAAGTGGTAGCGACATTGGTCTTATCATAGCCTTGAATTCTCACCACATTGGTTAACTCTACATTTGCTTATTTAGCTCCACATTTTTATCTGCTTTGTCTATTTGTTGAGATGTTTAATTACAGTTATTGTTCTACCCAATTATTTTTTCTGGCATTTTTGCTAATATTTCTACTATGTATTTTGATTGTAACGCAGCTCCTCCATCTATAAAAGAAAGAATTTATAACAGATCATTTCCAAGACAGCTGATTCCAATGCTCTTTGATTATGTGTTAAAAATTCAGTGTATTGTAGTCATAATGTTAATTACGCCTCTCATCTTCATTTAGGTCCAGTGTCCCTTTTAGGCATTTTTTATTCTCTGATCCTTTTCATCTCATACCATGAAAATAACTATCCCCTACTCCCTACTCCGTTGGGGGAGGTTGTGGTAGTAGCGGAGTTGTTTGTAAAGGCACTCATTGAACTTTAGTGATGGAAAGAATAGATCCCTGAACCAACTATTAGAAATACTTTGGTGTAGCTCCCAGAAAGATTAGTCTTCACGTACCTTCATCCTTCATTCTTAGTCCATGTCTCTTGTCATATATATATATGTGCACATATATATGTATATGCATATACCATCTCATGTTTTAGCTGCTCCCTGCAAGTCTTTCTGCACTGAGGCAGAGAAAAAGATAAATTGTTTTAGAACATCACATTTATTTCATTTTTCATCTCAATGCTCTGCTAAATTTGTGAATGTCTGAGTGGACTGCACCAAGAGAAAAATGTCGGTTTTCAGTTCCACATTCAGTAACCAATATGATAAGTGAAATTTACCCTGCTTCAGCAATTCAAAACGTACACCCCAAGAATAGCCAACAGAAAGCTATCACCCCCTCCATAAGGAGGAAATTAGACTAACCATATAATGGCCTCCAAAGACACTTTACTACTCACTTACTATGAAAATGTCCAGAAGTTCATTTTTATCGATAGAACCACTTCCATCAGCATCATACAGCTTAAAATACCATTTTAATTTTTGCTGCATTTTTTCTCTCACGATTAGATTTATAGCAGCGATAAACTCAAAAAAGTCAATAAATCCATCCTGTGGAAAGCAAAATGGAAAGGAAAATAAATATTAAAGAAGAACAATTGTTTTTTATTTGAGAAGTCATTATTCATGAGCAGGACCTTTTGTACAATTTAATATAATCCATAAAATTTCACCATAGATCTTTTTCCTAGTGCTTCATTAAAAAAAATACACAGGTAATGTTTATAGAAACAAGTGACTTTAATTTTATAACTAAGTGCTTTTTAAAATAGACATCATTTTTAAAGCAGTTTTGGACTCACAGAAAAATTGAAAAATACAGAGATTTCCTATATATGCCTTGCCCCTAAACATCCATAGCAATCCGCCATTATCAACATCCCCCACCAGAGCGGTACATTTGTTACAATTTATGAATCTACATTTATATATCATTGTCATCCAAAATCCATAGTTTACATCAGTGTTCACTCGTGGTATTGTACATGCTATGGGTTTGGACAAATGCATAATACCATGTATTCACCATTATAGTATCACACAGAATAGCTTTACTAAAAATCTTTTGTGCTCTGCTTATGCAATATTCACTAACTCCTGACAGGCACTGATCTTTTTACTTTCTCCATAGTTTTGCCTTTTCCAGAATGTCATATGGTTGGAATCACAGCACAGGTAGCCTTTTCAGATTATTTTCTTTCACTTAGTAATATGCATTTAAATTTCTCCCATGTCTTTTCATAGCTTGATAGCTAATTTCTTCACAGCACTGAATAATATTTCATTATCTGGATGTACCTCAGTTTATTTATCCATTCACCTACTGAAGGATATCTTGGTTGCTTCCAGATTTTGGCAATTACCAATAAAGTTGCTATAAATATCCATGTGCAGATTTTTTGTGTGGACATAAGTTCTCAACTCCTTTGAGTAAATATCAAGGTATTTTGGATAGTATGGTAAGAGTATATTTAGTTTTTTAGGAAACTGCCAAACTGTCTTCCAAAGTGGCTGTACCATTTTGCATTCCCACCAGCAATGAATGAGAGTTCTGTTGTTTCGTATCTTCATCAGCATTTGATGTTTTAGTGTTTTGAATTTTGGCCATTCTAATAGATGTATAGTGTTAACCCCCTGTTTTAATTTGCAATTCCCTGATGACATATGATGTTGAACATCATTCATACACTTATTTGCCATCTATATATCTTCTTTGGTGAGATCTTTGGACTGTTTCTTAATCAGGTTGTTTGTTTTCTTATTGTTGAGTTTTGAGAGTTCTTTGTATATTTTGGATAACAGTCCTATATCAGCTAAGACTTTTGCAAATATTTTCTCCCAGTCTGTGGCTTGTGTTTTCATTCTCTTGAAAATGTCTTCTACAGGGCAGAGATTTTTATTTTAATGAACTCCAGCTTATTAATTTTTTTCTTTCATAGATCATGCCTTTGGTGTTGTATCTAGAAAGTCATCACCAAACCCACAGTCATCTAGATTTTCTCTGATGTTATGTTTTAGGAATTTTATAGTTTTGTATTTTATATTTAGGTCTGTGATCCATTTTGAGTTAATTTTTGTGAAGGGTGTAAGGTCTTTGTCCAGATGCATTTTTTTTTTTTGCATGTAGATGTCCAGTTGTTCCAGCACCATTTGTTGAAAAGGCCATCTTTTCTCCATTGTATTGCCTTTGTTCCTTTGTCAAAGATTAGCTGACTAGATTTATGTTTGCCTATTTCTGGGCTCTATATTCTTTTCTATTGATTTATTTGTCTATTCTTTCAGCAATACCACACTATCTTGATTGCTATAGCTTTAGAGTAAGTCGTGTAGTAAGGTAGTTTCAGTCCTCCAGCTTCTTCTTCAATATTGTATTAGATGTTCTGGATCTTTTGCCTCTCCATATAAACTTCAGAATCAGTTTGTCAATATCTACAAATACTGGGATTTTGATTGGGATTTCATTGAATCTACAGATCAAGTTGGAAAGAACTGACATCTTTACAATATCAAGTCTTCCTATACATAAACATCTCTATGTTTATTTAGTTCTTTGGTTTCTTTCATCAGAGTTTTATAGTTTTCCTCATATAGATCATGTACATATTTTGTTAGATTTATACCTAAAAATTTTATTTTTGGAATCTAATGTAAATGGTAATGAGTTAAATTCAAATTCAACTTGTTCATTGCTGGTATTTAGGAAGGTGACTGACTCTTATATAAAAACTTTGTATCCTGCAACCTTGCTATAATCTCTTATTAGTTTCAGGAGATTTTTGTTTTGTTTTGCTTTTTGTCAGTTCTTTTGGATTTTCTATTTAGATAATCATGTTATTTACAAAGTCAGTTTTATTTCCTCCTTCCCCATCAGTATACCTTTTATTTCCTTTTCTTGTCTTATTGCATTAGCTAGGACTTCCAACATGATGTTGAAAAGCACTGGTGAGAGGGGATATCCTTATCTTGTTTCTGATCTTAGTGGGAAAGCTTCTAGTTTCTCACCATTAAGTATGATGCTTGCTGTTGGGTTTTTGTAGATATTCTTTTTCAAGTTGAGATTAAGTGCCTTTTTAGAGAAAATGTCTCCTTCTTATGCCAAAGAAACACTCTAACTAAAATGCCATGGCAGAAGCCTCAGTCCTGACCACTGAACTCCTACAGTGGTTTTCTTCTCCTGAATATCTTCGGATTTTGTCCTCTTCTGAGGGAGAAGACCATGTGCCAATTTTAATAGAAAACATCAAATAGACAAACTGTGTATTCCTTTTTGTAGAAACTATTAATAGTTGATAGTTTTAGACTGTTAAATTCCAGTTTAGTGTAATTCCTTTAAATGCATAATTTTAAGTATGAATCAAAATTAATGGGGCTCTTTTTCTATAAAAAATTTTGTCCTATTAGTCAATCTTCGAAAAAATTATTTAAGGATTACAAGTTTAGAAAGTTTTTCCTATCTTGTTTTAAATTAGTAAAACATTTTCAGTTGAAACAGAACCAGTCTGTGTCACCCTTAAGAATCATACACTTCAAACCTTGCTGCAAACCCAAATGCTCAACTGCCTTAAGAAAGGAGGCCAGCTCTAGGGAGGCATGTGACTCACTCTTTGCTATTTTCTCATGTGAATTCTAATGCTGATGGTAGCATATCCAGCCCAAGAAAACATGCCATTGGCTGCATTCTCTTTGGAATACTTGTTATATTAAGGCCTATTTACAAAACCAAGATGTGACATACAGTATCCCCCTTTATAAAGAGCTTTAGACTTATCAGTCTGTAAAGTGATATGTGTTTCCTTTGAGTCTCAAGCTTTCGTGAATAGTTTCACCAAGTCCATAAGTAAAGCAACTGAGAAATCACCACTAGTTCTGGAGTGGGAAGCAAGGCCAGTCTGGCTGGTTAATCACTTTTTTTTAAACAAGTTTTTTTTTTTTTAAATAAGATAACAATATCTCAGATGTTGGAAGCCAATGTGCTAGTCACTATAGCATTGTCTTCTAAATTTATTACATGCTTTTATTTTCCACACTGTGGATGTTTTGCTTTTATAGTCAGAAAATAATAAGAAAACATTTAAAAATTGTTTTACTATCTTTGGTATTAGAGTTTTATGTTTCATAACTTAGGCATCTTTACCCCGTCAATAACTTTAATATTTCTTATAAGAGATAAGACTTCTTCTTACAGATGAGAGTCTCGTTGAATGGGTATTCTAAAGGAAATTTATTCAAATATACAAAAGCTGTTTTTAGCCTTTCTTCACCTGCCTTTCCTACTACCTGCTACCACTTCACCTTATTAATCCCTGGCACAGCTATGGCTGAGACAAGAGAAATATGTAATAACATAACAGAGTTGAAATTTATTTAAGATGACATCAAGATAGGATATCTCCAGATTCGGCAGGACATGACCATTATTTTTCAGAAACTGGACTGGAGGTGTAGAGGATATAAGCTGGATGGACAGCATCCAGCCAGAGGTACATCTGTTCCCAGGCCTTCCTCCTGGGGCTTTAGGGTTTGGCCAATCAATACAACGGTTCCTTGGGCAGTTATTGTGCAAGTTTACCAAAAGGACACAGAAGCACCCTCCCTACAAAGCAGGCTTGTTATTAAGGTGATCCTCCAGAGTTTCCATAAAAACCTTTTATTTGATGATGGTTTGTTTCATTTTACAAGTTCCACTTCACTGACCACATTTTTCGATGTCACCTGTATGATGAACGGCAACAGGCTAAATCGAGCGATGTTACCTTTAGAACATTTAGTATTTTATTTTTAGGCACAGCGCCTGGGTGGTCCTAACACCTTCCAACCTAGGCTCTAAAAGCTCTGGGCAAGACCTCCCAGGAGATGAACATAAATATTTTCACTGTATGGTTTTTAAATGGACAACCTGGTTAATCATACCTTTCTACTTAGACAAGAGCAGCCTCTTTCAAAATCTTCTGTAAGTAACACATTTCCTGTTTTCATTTCAGCATGCTGTTACACAGTCAGGCAAGTTAACCCTTACGATTCACAGCCAACTCTTCTTTCCTATCTTTCTGTTGAGCTTTGGTAGAAATTTACATTTGTGAGATGACTCTGGTACCAATGTAATTTAATAGCTTGTGTTAGTGTTGGAGAGGGTTTTAAGTAGATGCTTATTCTATAAATAAGAAGAAAACAATCAATGATTGTCTTAAGTTAACGTATAGATTTCAAAGGCAGGAGAGGAGGATAATTTTCACTGAGAAGATAAGGAGATGTCCTTGCAAATGTGACAAGGAAGAATGCAATAGAGAATGTCCAGAGGCTTTTCTACGGGATGGCTCTGCTCTCTAGGGAACACTCTTAAGTTCACATTTCTATATTGAACCTCAGGAGTCCCACAGCACACAGAACTGCCTGGAGAAGTCTGATTCTTATTGGCCTGAGTCAGAGTGGGGTTCATAAACTCCCTGTGTCAGAATCATATGGCGGGCAATGAAACATGCTGAGTCCTAGACCCCCAACCCCCAAAACAGCATCACAGCTGCTTGAGATATGGTCTAAAAGTCTGCATTTTA